CCCCCCCTCCTACCCCTCGGCGTCGTCCCGTCCGGACCGAATAATTCAGGCACTCCCCTGCTGTACTTGCGGTCCTCCGCTGATCGCTGGCCGCCGTCCTTGTCGCACACCACCAGGGCTGCGGACGCCCGCGCGCGCGTGCGAGAGAGAGGTGGACGACGACGACACGACGTGCATGCATGCCGTATGCGATCGCGCGCGTCGCGGGGGGTTTCGGCGGGGGCGGGGCGTGCTGTCACGTGATCGAAGCTCCCGGTCTGTCCTGCCCCTGCCCCCGCCCCGCCCCTCCGGCCCCCTCGCCCGCGCGGGTCGGTCCCGGGGACAGGGCCGCTTTACTTAGTGATGATGCCGTGCGCGAGGCCCGCGTCACACGTTCTTGCTAAGCCGAGAAGACAATCATCCGGTTAATTATGCACCCTTGCTTCCAACCCCTCCCCCCCACCTCCCACTCCGTCCCACGCACCTGACTGTGATCGCCCGCGCCAACCCGACGGCGACGACGTCCTGGGCTTCCCCTAAAGGCTGCCGCCGGCGTGCTGCTCATGGTGGTCCAGGCGCTGCTGACCATGGCGACGACAACCGTGTTGCTGGTGGTCGTCCCGCGGCTCCGGCCGCATGCTCGTTCCGCATTGCGTCTGGATAAATTTTAGAGTCAAGAAACTTCTCCAGTAAAATTCGAAACTGTTTCAGAAAAATTAGGAGAAAAGCGAAACACTTGCAGAAAAATTGCAAAAAATTTGAACTTCTCTGGTAGAAATTCAGAGACTTGTGAAAAAATTATTTCTCTGGAAAATTAAAATCCCTATCTGCGTGTAGTACTACCCATTCCAGCCCAGTGGGGGGGGGGGCAGATATCGCAGTGTGGCAGGTATGGAAAACCATTACAAGCGCTAACGGGACCCGCCCTGGCCGGCCCCGCGGCGGCCTGCTCTCGCATGTTTAATAGAGTCACGCCAGGCGGGCGCGCAGAACGCGAAAGCAGCACACCGCGGTGGCGGCTGAGCAGGGGGAGGCCGACGCCGTCCTGGTGGTGCCCGCCCCCGCCGTCCGCTGGGGTCCCGCGCGCCGCGCCAGCTGGCTGACCAGGCGTGCACTTGCTCGTCGTCTGCGCGTATGGTGTGGCGCGAAGAGCAGCACGGTGTTACTCGCAGCTTGACCCTGGGCGCGGGCTTTGTATCGGAACCGGATGATGTGCGCGGTCAACGGGCGGGGCGCGGGTGAGGTGCCCCCCGCCACGCCCGCCACGCCCCAAAGCAAGGATCCGGGCGGGGCAGGGCGGCGGCCTCATGCCCCGCCATGGCCATGATCGCCAAGTCCTAGTCCGGTTGAATGATTGATGTGGTTCGGTACGGGCGAGAGGCGCTGGGGAGGGCCGCGGGGCCGCGGGGGGCG